GGCGCCTGAATTTTAGAAATTAAATCATAACAAAATCTATTAAACTGACATGAAGACAATCATGTGACACTTATTTAGTTGAGAGATTGTTACACTTATTAAGTTGAGTGAAAGTATTTCATAAATGGTACAACAAGCTATCATGGTCAAGAACTTTGATTAAAACTTAATTAAATATACAAAAAAAAACTATTGATCATTATACTGAAATGAGTGTCTATGGATTTTCAGTTTAAATGACTAAAGACTGTTCAAGTTAACATGATGTAAGATATTTTGTTTTGTTCAGGTATTAGGAGAGAGATCGGGGTCGGAACCTCAAGCAGTAATGGTGTTATTAGGAGAGGTCACTAACATTTATAAGAGTGAACGTCAAATGAGCACGAGATTCAAGTAAGCTTCTTGTATTATCATCTTTAACCATTTTGAATGGTATAAAGCTCATGTTAAAGCACCTTTTTCGTACGTATTTCAATAAAGAAATTTTACTCTCATTTTAACCATTATTTTTATGTTAGTTGCGCCAAGAAGAAATTTAACGGTTTTATTTAACCCTCTTACTAGCATCCTGTACTTTCATTGGACAAGATCAGTCACGTGGTGACTTTCTACTTGCCTCGCTGACACGCTATTGTCACGCAAAACAAAATGGCCGCCTTTCAACCAAAAATTTGTTTTTAATGATTACTTTCCTGCATAAGGTTATACTTTTTAAAGGAATATTCACCTTTATCTTAAGGAGAAGCATTTCCACTTGTAACTAACTTTTTTATGACAACAGCGCTATTTTCTTTGTACACCTTATTGACACATTTGAATGCCTCCACGGTTATGCGATGTGTAAAAGTGCATCTCTTCTCATGTCAATATACAAGCTTTATGTTAATGTTTACAAGATATTTATACGAAGGAGTGCGACCAATATATGATTGAAGTGTGTCATGGACAAACCAAATAACTTATAATATTGTATCAAGATAAACTTCTGAACGTGTTACTAAATTACTACCGTATATACTTTCAGGGTTGAACCTGGACAATATGCCGTTGTCCCGTCCTGTATTGACGCCGGAAAGGAAAAGGAGTTCCTGGTCAAGGTCTATACCCCGGCTCCTATATATAACGTCAGGTACATATACTTCCTGTTTAAACCAGTCTATTAAAATGGAAACTATGACCACCGACACTATAAACGTCTTAATGAGTAACAATTAAAACTAACATTTTAATATAATAAACAGTTGTGCCACAGTCATCAAGTGTTTGATATCATTAATAACCGTAACAGCAACAATCACATTTATATCTAATTGAAACACATGTGTGTAAATTTCTAAACTGTAAGTATGTATATCAAATGCGACATTGAAATATGTGTTATTTGAAAGACTTGAGTCATATACATGCATCAAAAATTTTGCTTATAAGTGTTTTATCCTATAAGTGCTTATTTTATATTTGTGTAATCTTATAAGTGAATTATCTTATAAGTGATCTTGTAAGCGTATTACCTTTAAAGTGTATTAGCTCCAGATCTGCATCAGTACTAGGGGTGTAGTACTTAAATACCAGTACCAGTACTCACCAAGTTATACAGTACCATTACCAAAACTAGATTTTAGCTTGGTACTGCAGTACCAGTACTTTTTGGTGAAGTAATTTAGTACCAATACCATTATTTATATATATTCATCCAAGTTTGATTATTCAGTATAGAAATATAATCATTAGTTACTTTAAAATTTACATTACATTAATTTAACAAACTTTTTAAAAACAATATTTACAACATATATTCATGTCATATCTTATTGTTTAGTAAACCAGTCAACTGTAATACAATGCAATAATCTTTCATTTAATACAAAACAGTCTTTTGTTGCCTTTCACACCTTCACACCTCTGTTCAGTTTATACCAAAGTAAATAACAACTTTTTATAATGCTAACAATATCACATGCAATAGGATTATTTAAAATAGAAGCAATTAATTATTGTTTATTTACTCTTTTTACTAGTAAAATACAAAATAATGGAAAATTGTAAAAAGGACACTTTAAAGTAAAGAGTTATTGAGTCTGTTTATCTCAATTTAATTTTTTCATCAAGTCTTTGGTGCTTCTTTTAATGATGAATACTGTGTTAACATTTGAAGGAATATTGCAGCAAATTATTTATTGACTTGACTAACTTTTTCACAGAAATAAAATGATACATGGAATTTACAGCTTTACTTTTTGAGCAACATTGATGACTTTTTTTATCAAATCCAAAAGTTACTGCCTTGTAATGCAGTAGCAAAACCACCTTTTAAGACATTTATGCAGTACCACTACCAGTAGTAGCAACATTTTGTAAGAGTAATTCAGTATCAGTACTATAGTACTTGCAAAACCACTGCAGTACGTACTGCAGTACCAGTATCAGTGCCAGTATCAGTACCAGTAATGCAGCCCTGATTAGCTCATAAAAGTGATATATTATAAGTGTATTATCTAATAAATGTTTATTTTATAAGTGTTTTATCTTATAAGCATATTATCTTATAGATGTATTATCTTATAAGTGAATTATCTTCTTAGTGTACTATTTTATAATTGTATTATCTTTAACGTGTACTATCATTGGAGTGTATAAAGATTTTGCCTGTTAATTGTATTATCTTATATATGCTTTATTTTACAAGTTAATTATCTTTTATGTGTATTATCGCACTAACATCGCAATGAAAGTACGTATTATAATAATGTATATGTACTCTATATATGTAACAGTTTCAAAACAAAACTTATCTTATAAACATGACTTACTGCAATTTGTAATTATGCCTGCACAATTCTTCTTGCAGAGAAATTGGTCGTGAATATGCTATAATGGAAAGTGAAGAATTTAAATGCCTAGATGAAGCAGTAGTTGTCAGTAAGTATAGAAGTTACAAATTGTTTTATATTATTCTATTTTTACTATCTAGCTTTAAATTGCACGAAAGGATAAAGCTTTTTTCAATTTGTTTAAGTGTCTGTATATACTTTCCAATTATTTGTAAATCAAATGGTAGAGCCATCAAATAAACGAATAAAAGTTTCTAACAGAATCAGCCCTGTATTATTATCATTATTATTATTATTATTATCATTATTATTATTATTATTATTAACAATAATAATAATAATAATAATAATTATTATTATCATCATTATTATTATTTTTATTATCATTATTATTATTTTTATTATTATTATTATTATCATTACTATTATTGTATTAAAGCTGCATGCCTCCAGATTCATGCACAATTTTCATGACAGTTTTGAAAACATAAAAAAAATATTGAAAGGTGAACAAAGATATTAATCCACACATTGTAAATGGCGCTTATTATCCACGTAAATTACCCAAAAGAGGTATAAATTTGTAAAAATACCCCTTACTGCGTTAGTAACGCAGTATTAATATAGTGACAAATACTGGCAAATGGTGGCAAAATCAGTCAATAATCACACATACAATGTTAATTATTACTTGCATTTTGAATATTTTTACTTCTCTTAAAATTTTAGTTAATATTAATAATTTTTAATTAATGAAATATTTTGGGCCTTTCTGGAGGCATGCAGGTTTAAATCAAAACTTATTATTCTAAAATAAGAAAAAGTAATAAATTAAATTCATTGCAAAATGTATAGTACAAAATCGGTATAGGTAAGACAGTCTTAACATTTAAATTTCATGTGCGTATATTATATGTACACGGCTTTTTAATTTTTACAAACTTATAACGATTTTAATCAAATGTTTTAGGACATACAGAAACTGTATTTGGAAGATGGAAGTGCGGTCATAATGCAGGTGGAAAAAATTTTTCACATAAAAACGTATTAAAAAAAACCCGGGAAAAATAGATTTTAAAAAACCTGACAAAAAATGGAAATTTTTGTCTTCTGTATATTCCCTTTAGAAATGAAATATTTTTACGTCCTTTTATTTAGTAAAATTTTGGGGACCCCCCAAATTTGTCTTTTTATGAAACCCTTTGTCTAGTGAATTTACGAAAAAAATATTTTCCCAAAAGGGCAATGCAACGGGGGAAAATTAATTTCTTATCTTTTAGACCTGTAAAAGTTTTGATACAAAAATTTCTCTTTTTTTTTGGGATGCTCTTAAATTTAAAATACATGTTTTAAACCCAGTCTAATTTTTATCTGCTTTAAACCAGTTAAAAAAGGGGATTGTCAAATTTTATCTAAACGTGCTAGCAATGTAGCTTTAATAAAACAATTCTGTCATGTCCGGTTGTATAATCCATCTCTTGTTTTATTATACACAAAGAAACTAGACAAAATAGTATAAATGATGAACAACATGCAATATTTCTTTGCGAATATTTCACGTATTCGATGTGATTCCGTTTAAAGTTTATTAGCTTCTGAGTAAGTCAATTTAATAGTTATACTGTTACCAGAACGAATACCTATGATTTCCACTCCAGTTTGGGGGTTGACAGGCAAAACATTATTATGCTTACAAGATAGTGGACAGTCCTAATACAAAATATGTAATGTCATCATAAATACGGAATATTATGTTGTAGTAGCTTTCTGAGGCTTAGTATTTTGGTGGAAAATTGATATCTTGCGAGACCGAAAGCTACTACAACAAAATTTTTCCCTTTTTTTTTATATCCCTTTTTGGGTTTTTTTCAGAAAATAAAATTTGTATTTGTCAAGAAAAAAATTTCTTTGACTAAAGGGGATGAATACTTTAAATTTTTACAAACGGGCCAACCCTTTAAAATTTAATTTTGGGTTTCCCCGTTTCCAAATGAAAAGTTTGAAAAGGGCTAAGATGGGAACCAACTTTAAAAAATTTATCCCACTTCCATATTTTGGTACCGTTCTTTTCATAACATTTTAAGGGAAATTTTCTATCCTTTTAAAGCGATTTGCGTTTTCAATTTTTGCGTGTATTTTAGGGAGAAAATGTAAAGGTATATTATAAATGTTATTATTCAGATTATATAACTGAATTTGTTGGAATTACAATAATGCAAGAGAAGGGTCAAGAAACATACCCAGTTGGTCTTCGTATTTATCCGGTAAGTTACGCAATTGTACACGTATTCAAGCAATTGTCACATCTTTATTTAAGCTAATGCATTTTGTGTAAGAAATTTTTACTATGAACTTTATCATGTGAAAACAAAATGAACATGCGAAAGGGATTTCAGCTACGAAAGCCTCTCGGGCAACCTGGAGACCCTGAAGTTTAATAAAATTCAACCGTTTCTCATTCTGATCAGGATGTATGCTGTTCGCTATCAGTTTTTTTACTTGTAATGGAGTTTGTAAGCGAACAGTACGGATCCTGATCAGACTACGCAGATGCACAGACTGATCTGGATCCATGCTTGTCGCAAACGCTTTATGTTGGTTTTGTCGTGACATTTGACTTCACATCAGTATTCATATTGACTTTTTACCATCCATTATATTAATTTTCTTTTAAAGGGTAATGCAAAATATGTTGACAATTGTACAGTTTAGTTTGAAATTTGTAAATAAGTAAAACTTTTTAAATGATATATTACACACAGATGTATCCAGGTAATGACATAGAATGTGGCAATCGGCATCAAATGTATCTGTGTAAACAGCATCAATATTGTCCCAAGACGTTGGATGGGAATGTTGGAGCTTTTATAAATGGTAAGTTTATCTCTAAAAGATGATTTTACCACTTTTCTTACAAGATTCAGTATATTTTACTTTGTTTTGGTACTGTACGTTATTTTTCATGGAATTTAAATACAAAGACAAGTTTTGTTCCGAGACGAGGTAAGTATATGGCCGGGCTGATTCTCGGTTGTCTAGGTTTTCAGAAAGCGGGTTCCTTTTCCATGACATTTTGTCAACTCTTTTGTCTTAATATGATACTTACAGGAAAGTTATCAATGTAAAATGTACAGATATATAAGTTACCATTTTACATATATCATAGACCGTCAAGTGAATATACATGTATATAGAAACTAATAGACACTTATTTTAATGATACATATACCAACAAAGGTTGACTTCATAAACTTATCGTCATGATTTAAGTATATGTTTTGCGATAACCAGTTCAATGATATTTCAAAACTCCAAACTTATTTATTATTGACTTCCGCAAACTGTTAGCATACTGTTTAGGAATTTGTCCCCATCCCATTGAGGGGTAATTGGATATGCTTCTTATCTATTGCATTTAGTGATCCAATTTGAACAAACTTGAGAATTTTTAGCAGTTTTTTTTTTTATTTTCTTTTCTGTTTTGATAGGCTCGTCGGCAGAAATACAGCACACGCTTCTAGGAGGACGAAACTATCTTGTTCTGTTTCATTTGGACGGTGATCAGCAAGAGAAAAGATTTGCTGTTATAATCAGATCATCATGTCACTTACAAACAAAGTGAGTTCATTTTTATTTATTTTGTATACTCGTATATATTGTCTAACACTTAAGACATTGGTATCTCGGAATAGCCATGTTATAATTGCAGGAGTCTTCAAACTACTATATTGAAGTTTTAGCATGTAGATGAGCAGCTACTACCTTTGTTTACCGCTTACAGCGAGTGATCCTTAGCTTTGTTTGATTAAAAATATTACATAACACTTATCTAATACATGTCTTGTGTGAAATCGTGAAATTGGAGAACTTTTAACAATAGTACATTCACGACCGTTTTAAAAAAAAACATACATTTTTACCGCTTTTAGTGTAAAAATGAAATGTGTGTGCCCACTAAATCCACATAACGGGATCACTTTTTAAGTTTGCCTCCATTTGATAATAAAAAATTTAAATGCAAAATAAGATTTTGTTCTTGTTGGTTTCAGGAAACATCGTGTAGAATAGACACAGGAACGTTCGGAAGTGGAGTACCAAGTTTACATCGCTGCCTATCCTACAAAAGTTGCGCATGCGCAAACTATTAGCGTTACTATTGAGATCATAGTTCTTAACATAATAAAAAAAAAAAACTTATTATCGTAATCTGTTCATAGTGTTCTATAAAAAGTTATTTATTCAAAATCTGTTTCATTCGTGTAGAATTTTTCATAAATTGTAATACAGACTTTTTGCAATGTTCAAATAGATAAACATACTGATTTACTGAAATTAATTTATTAAGCTTCATTTACGCGTTCTGTATTTCATGTCTAAAATACATAAACATTGCTGTAAATAGCTATATATAGTGAAAGAATTTTATCATTTATATTATATAAATATGATATTAGTTAAAAAGTATAAGCATTCTGTGATGTACAATTTGTGATAATATTTATTTTTTAATTTAGCTTTTTTATTTTATCAAACTTACAGCATAGAAGACACAAGGCACTTGAGAAGGAACTGTGAAACTTGTTGACAGTAACTTTGAAATATTGATTTCCTTTGTTCGTTGATTTATACATGTACATATTACAGCATTAAAATTTTCGTCGTCTAACAAAAAGCCGAATCATTTTTTTTTAATCTCGGTGTTCAGATAAATACAAAAATATATGACAACAGGTACAAGAAACAAAATCAATTGAGCCGCGTCACGACAAAGCCAACATAATGGATTTTCGCCCAAAAAGCAGGACCCAAAGACCCCCAAGCGCATCCCGCGTTTTTCTGATCGGATCCATGCTTTTCCGCAAATCATTTTTGCTACGGGTTTTTATCGGTTGGAAAGGGCGAACAGAGGGGTCGGTCGGGAAACCCCATGCTGGTCGCAAACCATACGTTGGTTTGTGGGGAACGGCTCAATTATAAAATATCATCGGGGCCCTTCTTCATTCCTCTTTTTATTAAATCAACGGGAACTTACAAGTGAAATTCTATGGGGTTTTTTAAAATATCATTTATTTTACTAAGGGGATAGTGAAAATTTTTATTGATCATTTAAATAAAAAATACTTTTAAAATGATATGATCTGATATTTGTATTATTTACATATGGTATGTGTGTCTATGTTGTACGTCTCAAATGAAATATAGTTGTTATAACATTATTATAGACTTAATTTTATTCATGTTTTAAACTATATCCAAAAGTTTTCTACAGATGTAGCAAGAGCATCGCTAAAACGGGGAATATACGCCCGACAAATTGTAAGAATAATCGAAATAATATTTCGATAAGGGAAGAAACCCATTTATGACTATAATCTCATTTATTCTAATAACGTGAATGACACCCTGTTGGTTTATTTTTGACTGTACATGGAATAGTTTCAGCAGAGGTCTTCTAGGCAGTGTTTCATGCAAAATATATAAGCTCTGGACATAATAGTTTTCTAGTAAAAACTGTTTAGATGTTTATTATACATTATTCTCCCTAATGCATATGCCCACATGGTAGGGCCAATTTTAAGCTCATTGTCAAAGTTGAAAACGCATTATGCTGTAGAAATGCTTTTAATTTTCTTTTTTTTAATTTTTTGTGTACTTTTATAGTTTTCAAAAAAGCAACCCATTGTCCAATTATCTGAAAGTATGGAAGTCAAAATACAACTTTGTTCACACTTTGCTTATTTAATGAAAATTAATTTTACAATACTGCCTTCTGGAAACAAGCATCTAACATGCTCTGAGATCATTATTAAAAAGTTAAATTACACTTGTTTGCCCTCCATCAAGAGATGATTATTCGTTTCAGAGGCATAATGTGCCTTAAATATAACTTTCGCAAAATACTACAAATTGATGCCACATGCCGATTGTCAAATATCTAAGATTTGAGTTTTGTGGTTAAAAAAAATAATTATAGAAGTCAACATAAACTAAATGACCCGCGGGGTGAGGCCAATATTGACCTAAGAGGTACGGTTAATATCAGTTTTATGGAGGTCTACAGTGCATAACTTTAAGTCTATGTTAATCAAGTTACTTTATGGGAAAGGCCAATATTGGCGCAATGGGCAATATACTTATTTTAATTTTATGAAGTTCCACATTGCAATGGTACATACAAAATATCTGAGCTCTTAGCATTTCATATTGATACAATAAGACTTAAATGCGATTTCCTATAATTATAAGTTTGTATTTACAATATGGCCTATTAGACGAGCCCCATATTAACACAAGAGACACAATAAATATCAATTTTTGTCAATTACTTTCAATTTTCTTTCTTTCTTTCAGACAAGACATTGATAACAGACGGACGGACGACTAGATGCATAATACATTTTTTCCAAGCGTGTAATAAACTTTTTCATTCGTTGACATTTCTTATTTTGTGGTCAAGCATTCCGAACCTTCAACCCGTTGAATTGGAAAGTGACTAGCCTTTACCACCTGTTTAGTGCTAGACCAGCCCGCACATCCGGTCAGTCTTGCTAGGCTGACTATTTTTATATTTCCATCACGATATTCTTAAAATTGACAATGTGCAGGTCGAGTTTTAAGCTAGGTTGTCAAAAAGAGGACCTTTCAGAGGGTAATGGGTTAAACAGAGACCATATACTAGTAATCTCAAAACAACCAGTCTCTGAAGACCACTTTAAATCCTTATATCATTTTATAAATTTATTACTATCAGATAGGTCTTACTTTACACTTAAAGTGTGGTTGTGTCAACAGTAGAGAATTTACAATTAACACATATTGAAACATAAGCCAACGAACAGTAAATATAACGAAGAAGAATGATGTTTTAGTAGTTTTTATAATTCTCGTCAAAGTGAAGTACACTTTTGGTATAATAACTTTGTCTTTATACGAAATTTAACGTTTCCCCCCAAATTACACTTCTTTCAGGCCTCTCTGTGAAATAAAAACGTATCCCGAACACCTTGTCATACAAAAAGCAAAAACTTACACAATAATTTTTCGCGAATAACGTGCAAAATAAAACAGAATTTTTAAATGGAAAATTTTAACCCCTTTTTTAAAAACGAATGAGTCTTTTCAAAGTGAAAAATAGTTGCAGATTTCTTAAAAAAGGGTTTTTTTTACATCAAACCTTATCGTGTTTGTTTCAGTGTTTTAATGCAACGATTGTTTAGGGAAGTTAAGTAAATATCCAGAAAATGTAGTGAGACCATTTCCGGAAATGGTACTTGAACCGCCATATGGCCACAACTTTTTTACAGATACTTTTTCTCCTTTCTTTAAAGATACAATGGCTGTACCGCCATTTTGTGATCGCCCGCAGTATAAACCTCTTCCGCCGCTTTAACGTCCGCTTCCGGTGATCACATACAGAGTTGAGAATATGTCTTTCGAGCCCCTTACTATTGCGTATTTCAATGGAAGTTTCCACGTAACTACCTCTCTCACAGGCTATATTTAATGACAGAAGGTATGTTCCAGATGTGGGGCAGGTGAACTCCGAGTTGACTGTATTATAAGCTCCACCCATATTTTCTACAATCCTGTCGAATTTTATCTTATTGCCGTAACCTACTGTGACGTCATTAGCTAATGTAACATGAAATCCCTTCTCATCCCCTGCAAGATTGATTATTAAATAATTAAGGTATATCAACAAACAAGGCGGCCTACAGGCAATGAAAAGTAAACATAAGATATGACTCATTTTCATTTCCTACTATGACCAACAAATTTTATGCTTGCGATATTTTATTTATCTAATTTGTATGCCAAAGGATACATGTAGGCGGACACTGGCGAGGTCAAACTGTTTTAATGAGATATGTTTTACATTTGATGCTCAGACGCATTTATCACGGATGGTACAATATCCAAGGTAATTTATCGCTAAAGTATAAAAATGTCTTAAAAATCTCTTATTGGTATAAATCTTCCCGTTTCAATTTATCAGTACTAGCGACGATGAAAAACCAGTATTCAATTTAAAATTGATTTCAAGTTTGCCTTCGAGATATCCGTATATACTCTATATATTTGTAGCTTATTTTATTACCGCCAATGTACCACACTTACTCAGTCAACCAAATATTGTTTATAATAAATATATCGTTAATATTTTGTAAGTTATAGATGGTTTGCTACCAGCAGAATACACTTTTTACATTTTATTGTAAATGTTTAATTCGTATCTCTTATTTTGTTTTGCTTTTATTCATGTTTGTTTGAATATTGTTCTTGTTATAATGGTGATTCACTCTATTGTTATTGTTATTTTGTATAAACTCTTGCATATTTAAAAAAAACAACAACAACATTTGCTTATGTTACTTCACTGACGGCTAAGACGGGAAAGTTTGATGTTGTTAATCTGCACACGTACATTTCATTGTACTGTTAAATAGGTAATTTGTAATACATATAATTAACATGTAACATAACATGTATAAATCAATGATAAATGTTTATGGTTCGGCTGTGGGTATCCGACGATGAGAAATTTTCACTTAATAAAACACCTTCATCTATTGAACATGTTTATGGTACATCTCACATAAGCTGCAGTCACTTTTAATATAAATAATCGGACGAGTTTCATACATTTTATATTCATATTACCAGAGAATTAAAAACAAAATGATTATGATTATAACGAAAGTGATGACAATAATGATGACGACAACGACGGCGACGATGATGATGATGATAACCACGACGTCGACGACGATGATAATGTTTTTTTGCTGTCTTAGTAGTTGTTATCGCATTTGTTGATATTATAATACATATACTTACCAGAGTTTCCGAGTGTGAAACCTTCCAACATATTTAATGGCAAAGGAACATCCGGCAAGGCAGTTGTCGGGGTTATTGTATTCGTATAAGAATTACCTGCAAATAAAAACAATAAAATATAAAAAGATTGAAGAGATACGACAGAGATTGACTTAGATACCTCTATACTTTAATTATAAAAAAAATATGACAGGTTATAAGGCCCTATATAAACGGTTGTTTGCATATATAACCCGAGCAGCTAGAAGAAATATCTACAGCGTTTTCAATGGATGACAAATAAAGCTAGACACTAATTTTATTTAGTATTCATCCGTAGCTGTTCTACAGAAATTAGAAATATTCTCCTGTCGCTATCGCTCCCGTCGAAGTTTCTTATTTCTTTAAAACAGCACGGATGAACACTAACATATACCTGGTGGAGGGAGACCTGAGATGCCCTTCCGTGCATTATATTTCAGGTACGAACGGGCACCTCAGTAGAACCACTGACGTTCCGCAAGCTAGCTGGATAGCTTCTGATACGAAGAATCCAAGGTCCCTGCCAAGATTTGAACCCACAGCGGTGAGGGCAAAGTGGTGTTAAAATTGTGAATTTACGTAGATGAAATCGGGAATTCATAAAGTTAAAATGTCTCCACCGGTCTGTCGCAATAGGCCTATTTCTTCATCATCAACGGTGCACATGTCTTTATTTAAATTACATAATAATTTCAGACTATGTTTGATTGAGTCTTCACACAAGATATAATGAATAAATGTAACATCCCTAACGACCAAATCACCGGATTAAAAGCGCTGGAACCAATAATCTCGGAGGGCCAAAAATATTTTAAAATTGAAGTGAAGTACGGGGTAACTTTTTACATCTGTCAGTCACACGGCACTTGACATCAGCTGTTGAGAAAAATCTGAAAGAAGGGTTATCCCTCGGAAAGCTTGTAACATAGGTATAAATATTTACATACCAGCTTGTGAATTCTGAATTTCAACTAGCTGTTTAACGGCTATCTCCAGGTCTCGGACACGGGTAAGAAGGTTATGTATAGTAAGCTCGGTCATCTGTTGCACTTGACATCCTGTCATGTATACAGACCCTAGTAACAAAGCAAGCTTGAAATAGCATTCCATTGTTATCAGTAGCCTGAAAATAAAAACATTTGAAACACTTTAATTTCGCTTTTAACTTTCACAGCTTATATTAAGTCTTTTTTTTAGGCTTCGGCTTACGTCGCTCCAACACTGTAGTGATCATATGATGACAGCTTTGCTGTGGAGCAATGCCTTACATGCCCCTTCATACATCATTTCAGGTACGGACAAGCCAACGTTCCGTGCGCTAGCTGGACAGCTTTCTCATATGTTTGAATCCAAAGTCAATAACGGGATTTGAACCCACAACGGTAAGGGGCAAGTGGTTTAAGTAAACGGCATCAACCACTCGGCCAGGAAAGCCGTAGAATATTAGTAATCACAGTAAATTTGTGGCACGTCACTATTTCAATTTCATTTTATATTATAAATTGTTTTTAGTGAAGAAGACTGTATAGTCGAAACATGTATATAATGATTGTTTTAAAACGAAAGAATAAAATCTACAAGAGATGTCTGTATTAATCAAAATTATGACAATATTTCAGACATATTAAATTAGTGGAAGGTGAAAGATATAGACCTATGTGGTACTAGTATAGTGTATCCATCAGACTGCTCGTTGTAAACTGAGACCAAGTTCATTATCCTTAATGTGATTTAGCATTGTCAGCCATGTTTGTTAAAGTTGCCAAAAATCATATAACAACAACGCTCACAATGTAAAGTGATGAACAATTTGCAATATCGCTTCCAGGACTATGTTTTAAGCACTAATATAAACTTCCACGAATATGTTAAATATGTACAGCAAATGTTGATATACATTGAAATTAAACGTTAAAATTAATGCATTCATTTTCTATTGAAAAAAAATGACTTAGACTTTACCGAAAATAATTTTCTAAGCCTCCTTTTATCTACATGAAATGATAAAGTCGGTAATATTTTTACAAATTATGCTTTTTGAAACTTACAATTTAATAAATCTTTATTTGAGCATCAGATTTGTGATATAAAACGATTAAAACATTAAAAATACAAAGAGGGTGTAAGGTGATGATATACAGCCGCATCATTTTGAGATAAGAGATAACTGGTGACCACATTTATACGCAATAAATTTAGTATTAAACCTACACTCATTCAATACCCTCCATTTACTTTATGTAGAAGTCATTCAAAATCGACTATGTTTATTCCTTACTTACTTTTGTACACCGAAAATTAGATTTTGTTAAAGTGTGCCTTATATGATTTATTACTTGCATGGCGTAATTACTGTGATCTTTTGCTTATTTCCAGTATAAAGCTCGGTGTCGATTATGTTTGGTCATCTGACATTGTACATTTAAAAATTTAAAACCATGTCCCAGTGATTGTGAACTGTAAGGACGAGAACTCTATTATTTGAGATCAAACGAATTTTCCGCATTTCGCTTCTCATCGGAATTTTCCATACAAAAACTGCGGTGAACATACATCCCTTTTTACGTATGTGTTTAATATGTTCCAAGCAGTATATATTAAATTGCCCAGGAAAGAAAATAAATATCAGTAGTAATAGATTATGCAACATAACTTTATATACGTGAACAGTTACTTAATGAGGTAGTTATATAAAGGGACGTAACTTTGTTTTACATCCATGGGCCAAAATAGCGGGACCAGCCGGAAAATAACGAAATGTACCGACACAGCGACACTTGATATAGCATGTGACTATAATATCGCTATCGTTGTCATCCTCGTTGTCGGTGCGCAGTGTTTATGCATTGCATTTGTATTTGTGAGCAGTGAACATATTGAAGAATATGAATGCTAAGGCACATCAAAGTTGCCAAGTTATTTCGAAAATGTAAGGACTGACTTGTGGCAAGTTTAAGGTATTGACAGGAACATACCATTTTACATCTACATTGTAATTATACCAAGTAATAAGTAAAGAATGTTCTTTAAAACACCAAACAAAAAACGCTGTCCTTAAAGAAAGGTGCAATTAAACATACACCATATTATCATATTAATATGTCAGAAAGGAACACATGAAGTTGCAACTACATGATAGTACATTCAGTGATGATTTTCAGTAAAGAGAAGAAAGCATAATGTAAGTTCCAATATCAATACATCGAGCAAAGATGGAATAAATGCATTAATTCTGTTCATACATATTGAAAGCGTTGTGATAATTTGGAAGCATTTGAGCCGCGTCACGACAAAACGAACATAATGGGTTTGCGACCAGCATGGTTCCAACCAACCTGCGCATCCGCGCAGTCTTGCATCAAGGATCATGCCTGTTCGCTTACCAACTCTATTTCAATAGAATAACTGATACGAACAGTATGATCCTGATCAGACTGCGCGGATGCGCACGATCATGCTCGGTCGCAAAAACCACTATAATTGTTTTGTCGTGACAGGCTCATTTATACTAACTATTATCTATAATCTGTCTTCCAAAATGACCAACATTCTTACACAAAACACAACAATAGTGGAGGAAATAAATGATATTATTATTCTACCCAGAATCCTACTCATATACTATAAACAATGATGCTTCAATAATATAAAATATTGATACATGTAGTACCTCTTTAGCAAAGGGCATTGTCATTCTATAATAATTTGAAAAAATGCGAGTGCCAGAACAAAAATATTTTTTGACATGGCCAATTAATTATTATGCAATGCTTTCTTGATTTAAATAACAGCGTGTAAAAAGATAATTTTGTATTGTGTTATCAAAAATTACTAAACTAGCTTTAAAATTTGTTGAAGTTGGATTAGTATCCCACGCGTGTAATTAGATAAAATTGTATATCGATGTGCAAAAGCGTTGCATCCTGCTGTTTATTCATAGTATAGCAGGGGTACAATTTGCCGTTATAATTTAATATTGCCTATATTTCATTATTGATAGAATGTCAATCTCCTGTGCTCTTCACATGCTCATTATCCACATCACTTAAATATATATTACTATAATACAATGCAATACCAGTTTATTGCTTTAACATATAACAACGTTTCTAGCATAATAATAGACAAGGTAACATAGTTATTAGCAAAATATGCAAACAAAATGTTATGAAATCTGTGTTACGGTAGGGATATTTGTTATATGACAAAAATCTAAATCTTGTTTGATATTTTTTTGTGATTGAAAATACATTAAAGTTACTACAAATTAAGAGAAATGTTAATTACCTCTTCTTTTTAAAGGAAAGTTAAATATCTTGATTAATTTGAGTCATTTTCTAGAATTTAGATGATAAATACTTTCAAACTTTGTGATACCTTGTATAACTCTTGCTGTTACTACGCTGTAAAGTTTCTAGGGGTTAAGTTTTTTTTCTTTCCATTGTTTCACGACAATGAGCTTTAAATAAAATACGTGAATATGAATCTGTTCTGTTTTGTTAATAAAGTACTTGCTCCTTTCTGATTCTGTTTATTGTATTAGAATATGAAACATACACATCAAAACAGTTATTTAAATGATGTCAAGTCTTATTAAATAATTTACCTTTAAAACGTGAATAAACCTGGACGAGTTATCCCAAATCAGTGATTTAACAAACAGGTTTTCAACACAATTGACGTTAGATAAGTGCAAATCTCCATTTAAATATATAATTATATCACCGTGCAAGTACGTTTTTGCTCGAGCTATGACATAAGAATTTCATTCATACATGCAAAGGTGTGTAAAATCCACCACGCATAACTTTCCCACCATATTTTACATTAAATACGCACACACATCTATACAATTAAGCGAATGACGCACGGCCGTATGATGATCACTGTGTAAGAGATTAGTTGCAACCACATACCAGAGGTCGAACATATAGCGGTGCGATATCCTTTAAGCATCATGGCGATACGTTATTGAGCATGTTTGTTTTCAAATATTTGTTGTTTTTAATTTCTTGAAGACTAGCTTGTGCGCTGTGATCAGAAACTTATAATCTGTGCATGATCGTCAAAATAAAATTCTAAATTTTATAGTATGAACTTTTAGGTATTGTTGCTGCAAATTCAACCGCACATGCAAACGAAAGCAATTATGCAGTCGTTTAAAACGAGATATTCGATTAGATTAAGTCCCAAATGTTATATTTTTATTACAAAACCGATATACCACTAAGGAGTAGTTTTCCTTATCTATCGAAATAATATACAATAGTTCCATGTTTTCTATGTAGTCTAATATTTGGACTCGATAAACCAAACTTACGCACACATTTCTGTGTTGTTTTTTGTAGCGAACGGGATTCTCCATAACCAGACATTCTCTATTCAATATTGATGACAATATTAAGATTTTGTGTTTGTATGTAATCATAATGGCCCCCCGTGGTCGAGGGTTAGAGTCGATGACTTCAATCCAGTTACCTCTCTTGGCGTTGGGTTCGTATCCCCCGGAGTGCTTTGGTGTTTTAGCGCGGAGGAAGGTAGTCTAGTACTGGTGTAACTCTCCAGGAACGATGGTTAGGAAACTACCCGCCTATATGACTGAAATACTGTTGGAAAAAGAGGCGTAAAATGAAAGAAACAAACAAATGTTAATCATATGTAAATCACAGTGTAAATTAAAAAAAACAGTGTCAATTGATGTATTATACTATTAGGATATAGTTAAGTTAAATATTCTTTTCTCACAAAGGTTAAATATTAAAATTAGATAAGTTATTGCAAGGAAACTAAAAATTCTATCAAATAACCAATAGTAACGATAATATTAGTTTTGTTTATTCCATTTATTCAGTAAAGGTTTTATCATTTGATAATATGTTTTTCTATTATTAATTACATATTTTTTGGTTGTCAGAAAAATTAACTTTAATTAAAACAGCCAACATATAGAAGTGGGATCTATCTATTGTATACATGCACTGCGTCGAAAAAAAAAAACGCCTTTCCATTCCGTTCTTATGTTCATTCATACCTTAAGAATTGGGACTTGGAAATTTAATGAAACAAAATACTGGTTGATTTCTTGATGGAATATATATTTATATATATTTTTTTTTAGAAAAT